TTTACTAGGCTCTGACAGATGTAATGAACAGATTCAATATACACACTGCTCTCTTTTGCTTCAACGTTGTGCAGGCCACACAGTCACCCTGGAGAGCAGAACAAGTAATACACACACTACTGTGAATGTGTCTAACTTCCTGGCCTCTGTACATGTGAAAGCCTAACAGGGTAAGAGGAGTTCCTCTAAGGCATAATGAATGGGGTGATGCATCATTATATAAACTGAAGATGGAGGAAAGGCAGGTGGAATCCACACTTTCTGCCCACTCATTTTGCAGATATTTATAGCACAGCACCCCTTTAGAGTGACCATGACTAGAGGAACATTGCAGATACCACCCTGGATCACAGAAATGAAAGGCCACAAGGGTTGGAAAGGGAGGCTTCACTAAAGAATGGAGGAAAGGTGGTCACAGCACTATTAGGGACTTCTATCAGGACATGAGGACCACCTGGGCCAGCACTGACCCATTCAAGGCCAAGAAAAGGCTGGGTCAGGGCTCTCTGCCACTGGAGCAGGAGGTTGATGTCCAACTCTATAAGATGCCCAGTTGACTTGGACCAACCTGAGCTCACTGAAAATGAGAACTGCAGTCAGGAGGGTTTGGCCTGGGTCTGTGGCCTTCTAGGAAGTGCATGGGACACTTTACACAGACAAAGACTCCAAGACTTGAGACTTCTGGCAACACTGAGGCATGCACAAGTGAGTGGGTTGAAGAAGAATGGGAAGCTTTCCTGGGGTGGATTTGTGCACAGAACTGTTTGTGGCAGGCACTGGGAAGTTCTAGGGCCTGCAAGGAACAAGGACAGTTGGTGATTTTTCTCTTTCTGCTGACACAGGGTAGTACCTAACTGAGCTCAAGTCCAACATACAGAATTTACAGTAGATCCACCTCCAGTGACCTCACAAACTTTGGGATCAAAGTGAAAACTAAGGCCAGGTACTCTGTCTTGAGGAATTCTTGAGCTGAGGCTTTTACTGGCTCCACAGCAAGCATCCTGAGCTCCACGTAGGGCCAAGTCCTGCAAAGCATCTGCCTTTCCTTTCCTCTTTCCTTGCACCCCTTGTTTTATTTTCAGTTTTCATTTCTACTCCTAAGTCTGTAATTGTTTTAAACATTAAATTCTAGGACAATTTAAAATAAAAGTTAAGATACATTCGTTTCATCATGTTCAATTCAGTAGCATATAAGCACATCATCAATTTGTACAATTTCCACATCTCTTGAGATCCAGCTTTCTGCTCAGTTTTGGAACTATCCATACCCCTGTCCACTCCTGCTATAACCCACCCATCTCTAACCTTTTTTCACTGTGATTTAGTACTCTGGGTCTTTAATAATCATGTATTAGAGTCTGTTCAGTCAAATTTTATTGGATGACACTGACTGCTATTGCTCTATGATAGAAGAGAAAACCCCAGATAGTCAAAATCTATCAGGAAAATATAGAGATCATTGTGTGTCTACTCATCTTTTCATGTTGGAAAAGCTTTCCCATGATTTCAGTGATAGAGGGGAGCTAGAAAGGTCTGATTCATTGCATTTGAAAAAGCAGAAACAAGAATAATATAGAAACCACAACAAGAAAACTTTCCTTACAAGCCATATTCAGACAGATAGTTTGTGATACAGGTGTGAAAGAGGTTTCATGAGTCCATTCTGTGAGAGATGAAAAATTCTTGTAATTCAAAAGAGAATCACCACATGTGGCCAACAAATGCAGATAACACTAAGCCTCCCAAAACTGATTCATGCAGGCAAACATCCCTGAGATGTGCTGTGTCTCCATGTGATGGCAAGTTTTAAGGCAGGTGTTGAACAGCACTGGGGAGAATATGGGGGTGGAGCAGAGCCCTGTCTTGCAGCTCCCATCAGAGCACTACACAAGTGTCCCTGGATCTGGCGGGATTAACAATAGAGGTTTATCTCTCACAGAGAGCTGCACAACTTTGAAAGATTTCTTTTCAAAAGTTTGATTCACAGCTGTTTGAAGCAGGAAGGAATTGGGACCATTCCTATCTTCCATATAAGGGTGTGGGGCATCAGTGTGGGCCACAAGAACCAGAGAAAGAAGCTAAGGAATCTGATCATGAAATAATACATGGATGTGAGAACAAAGACTCAGTTTTGAAAGTGAAATGTCTCTGATATCAATGTGCATCCACACATAGACATGTAAGAATCTACATCCAAGAACGATGTCTCAGCAGTGTAGTTACTTATGATGACACTGGCTCAAAACAAAATAATTTTAAAAACAGAATTTAGCGTTGTTCAGTGTAAGGCCCTTGTCATAGTTTATGTCTGTGGCCCCCAGGCCTCAAGCGTTTATTATACATCTGTGACTGGTTCACTTTTTAGCATTTGGATTAGGGGTGTGAGTGCTACACCGGCCTAGGCATGGAGCCAAAATGTGATATAATTGCAGGAAATAGGCCTGTCTTGCTCTTTTGCCTTTTTCCTCCTTGCTGTTTGCAGCCACCATGAACTGTGGCCCCACCAGGCCAGTCTGCCTTGGAGCCAACTGAGTATGGACTGAAAACTCCAAATCTGTAAGAAGTAAACCTTTCCTTTCCCAACTTTTGGTATCAGGTATTTTTTCTCAGCAACCCATAAAAAGTAACAAAGACATCCCTGCATTCAATTCCCAGAATTCTGTTAAGGAAAAAACAAACAAACAAAAAACAAAAAACTGGGAGCAACATGAGGGTCTTCAGAGTACCATTGCCTGGTCTTTCTGAAGAGCTGTGTGCCCCAAGTAGCTTGAACCTCCACACCTTTCTTGGGCACTTTGATTTTAAAAAAGATCAATTCCATGAGGGATGGAGAAAGGAGGATGTTCACCCAAGAATGCAAAATCATAGTGACACTGGAGAAGAAATTCTCAATTCTCTCCTAAACTGCATGGTGACCACAGTTAATAAAAAGGATAGCTTTCAAAACTGCTAAACAATGGGATTATAGTCCCAATAACTCTGAAAGAATTTGTAGGTTAAGAAGGTGGTATATACTTTATCTAGACTGACTCTTTCTAAAAAGGAGCCATAGGTCAAAAGCACATTTTATCCCATAAACATACATAATCATTGTGAATTTCTAAGAATGGATAGCCTGTACTTGTACTCCCAGCACTCTGGGAGGTTAAGGAAAGAGGAGCACAAGTTTAAACCAAACCTGGGGAATTTAGTAAATTATTTCAACTCTGTCCTAAAAATTAAAAAAAAAAAATTGAAACAAAAACAAAAACAAATTTTAAAAGTACATACATATATAGCTCATGCAGAAATTCCCAGGATCACTGAATATAGTATACAAACTGCATAGTATGAAACTATGCAGTTTCATAGTATATAAAGTTATATAGCATATAAAGTATACTATAGTTTCATACATATAAACTGCATAGGATGAAAACTTTAATCTACTTATAAGTGTTTTCATATTTTCTCTATTAATATCTACTTGTGCTACATTAAAATAAGAAAAGACAAAAAAGGGGTTGTTTGTTTTGTTCTGAGACAAGGTCTTGCTATGTACTGCAGGCTGAACGTGACTCACCAAGTATTTCAGGCTAGCCTCAAACTCCCTGTGATCCTGGTGTCTAACCCACCTGAGTGCTGGGATTACAGGCATGCACCACCATGCCTTGCAGGAAAGTGGTTTTTTTTTATCTTTTTATTTTAAAGAGGATAAAACCAAATGAAACAAAACAAAATAGACTCAATCAAAACAAAAAGACGAACCTGGCACATGACTTAAAAACAAAATCCAACAGTAGGTTGTCTGGCCTATCTCTCAGCCTGCACAGAAAATGACTCAAGACCTTGCTGAACTCCAAATTTGTCCAGATAGTTGGGCAAATACCTAGATTTTGAAAGATGTCTTAAACGTGCTTTTTTTTAAGGACCAATTCGTATCAAGTGCCAGGGAAAGAACACAGAAGTTTGATTTAGTATTTCTAATTTCTGGAATTTATCCCTAGAAAAAAAGATATACGCTCAACGCAGTTTTTCTAAGAGAAACTAGACTTGTGTACACAGTCAGTAACAGGATAACTAAGTACAAGTCTACCTATGCATGTAATATAAACATTCAACATTATGCAAATATATAAATGATGTGAGCAGAACTGGGTAGTAATCGTTAGAGACAGCCGAATATGGAGAAGATGGGTATTCTGCAGCAGGGTTTAACAATGTGGGTGAATTATTTTCATTTGTGGATTTAAATTTTTAAACACTACTGATCACACTTCCTCATGCCTCAAAGCCCCGGTCCGCATTCATTCTCCTCACAAAACCTAAACACCCAAGTGCCGCCAATATTAAAAGAAGCAGAAACCTCCTTATCAATGGAACGGACTGGAGCCAAAGCATGTGCAGGTAGAATAATAACTGCTATCTTACTGTTATATCTAGGTCCTCTCTCAGTCTCTGCAGGGAGAAGTTCTGAGTAGAATCCAATCGTCCTTTTACGGTAAATGTCCACGGCTCAGTATGGCCAAGCTCACTGACAGCAGAGGCCATGTGAAACCCCAAGCCGCTGCACCACAGGTCCCACATCAGGGCTGGGCTCCCAGCAGTGCCTGTCAGGAGGGCCGGGGATCCCGGGCGACGAGTCAGGCCTGGCCATGCTGATCCCCTTCGGAGAAGAGAGAGGAAGAGAGAGAGGGGCCCTGCAGACCTCAGGCCAGGTCGCCCGAACTCCGCGCCCGCTGCCTCCCTGGGCCCCCGACCCCAGACATCCCGCCCTAGGCACTTGCGCCGCTAACATCAGGGCCACCGGGCCAAGCCGCCACTCACCGTGGGCTCTGCCCTTCTACCTGCCCCAGACCCCAGCCCTGGCCCCGCCACAGCTTAGGCCGCCTAAGGAAGAGCGCTCCAGTCTCCAGATGGCGTTGCTAGCTGCAAAATAGCGACTCCACTCACAAGACCAGCATCCACTGCAAAGCAAGGCAGGGGCGGGCAGGCTGAGCTGGGATGTGCAGGCCCGTGGCTCAGGGTGGTCCATGGGCGCGGGCCGCCCAGGTTGGGCCTGCTGGAGTGTAATCTTCCTTTGAGGCCAGGGGGTGGGGTCAAGCGGTGTGAGGGGCGGGCAAGGGGCGGGGCCAGAAGCTGGGACACAATAAGTGCATAGTCCTCCTGTGAGGCAACAATGACGCAGTGGGCGTTGCATTGGGTTTTAGGGTCCCCCTGAGGCAGGATTTGGCTGCAGGTGGAGGTCTCTGATGAGGCTTCTGGGAGACCCAGCCCCAGGCCCATTATGAGAGGAATCAGAGGAGTGGACTGAGGCTTGGAATTTATAGATGTCTGGACTCAAATCTTCCCGGGCCTGACACCTTAGGCACACTGCTTCTCTTCTGGGAGCCTCAATTTCCACTATTGTTACTCTGCTGTTATTTTGCTTTGAAATATTGAGGGTGTTTTCCGTTAAAAAAAAAACCTGAGGAATGGTAATACTCATCTCTGGGCACTGCTGTGAAGATCTGATGAAAACCCTGCAGAGCTCTTCCCATGGTTCCTACCATATAGCAAGTGCTCAGGTATCATTGCTATTTGCATTGTTGCCCTTCTTTTATTACAGAGAAATGAGTGCTTTAGGTGTCCGTCATTGAATGTCATCATAACTTATAAGTATGTTTACATGTGAATATAACATACTAACAAGCATATTTAACACTTATGGATATCAGGCCAGGGCCTCTTTGAGGCACTTTACATATGTTAATTCTTACAAGAGTAGGAGTTAGGAATTATCTTCATTTTCATAGCTGTGTGAGCCTAGACACCAACATTAAATACCTTTTCCAATGACAAAGCAAGGGACAGAATTTTAACCCAGTGGGCCTTGCACCAGCATCTCTCTTAACAAACCGATACTTAGCACAGCACCGCTGCAGTTCCGCTTTGGATTTTTCAGTTTTGCGGTTGTGGCTGCCTCAAAGTCTTGAATCAGTTCAAACTATTTTCCTTTCATGGTCATTTTAATTTTGGAGAAGAATCTGAAGTCACAAGGGTCACGATCTGGTGAATTCGGTGGATGAGGCTGCACCATAATGTATTTATGAGCCTTCCTTTCCATTGAATGGCATTCAGCAACTGCATTCACTACATTTTTTATCTCAATTTGTAAGGACACTCACAAAGGAGGACTTCCAAACTGCTTCAGAAAACCAAGAACAAATGTAGAAGTGTGTTTGAAGCAAGGAGATGTATTTTCTTCAATTTATTTTTAAGGAGGTGTTTTTTAAGGAGGATTAATGGGCATGTATCTTTTATTTTAGTAAATTTTAAAAGTTTTAATATTAGCTGTATATTTTGATCAGCCTTTGTACTTCTTCCTTGAGGCTGTTAATTAAACATCTTCATATTCGCTATCCCTTATACAAAATGATTCAGACCAGAAGTGTTAGGAATTCCTGAATATTTTTTAATTGAAGAACTTGCATAGGACATAATATGTTGTCTTGAGGATGGGACCCAAGTTTAAATATGAAATTTATTTACAGTTCATATATAATTCAAACTCATAGCCTGAAGGTAATTTTATATATTTTTAATAATTTTGTGTTTGACATGTGTACTATGTTGTTTCTCTGGTGTGGGAAACTGAAAATGTAAATAAGAGGCAAAATAAAATAAATATTGTGAACATTATCTAATGAGATGGAGAATTAGGGATGGAGGATGTAGAAAGGAAGGAAGGGAAAAGAAAAAAATGATGAGAAAAGAAGGAAACAAAACTTTCATAAATAAGGAGGGGAAGGGAGTTGAAGCAAAAGTAGGAGAATGGAGAATAAATAATTCATAACATGTATGCTGGAAATTTCCCATGATTAACATGATTGTTATTTACACCTAACATGTACCAATAATCTTAATTAAAAAAACATTTTGTATTTGAAACAAAATTTGTTGCTGTGAAATTTTCAACTTTTGGCATAAAACATCTGTACTCAAAAGTTTTGGACTTTGTAGCATACAGACTTCAGACTTTGGATTAGGAATGCTTAGCATGTATTTGAATAATGATATGATGAATATCATCCCTACCTCAATAGACTGTAAACTTCATGGTGAGAGAATGAGAGGAAGCTCTTTGCCTCTACTAATGTCATGGTAAACATAAATAAACATAAATGTCAGTGCCCCTCCCAAGCCTCATGCAATCATGGATGCGACCAAGTCCAGTATTTCTGATTGATTGTCTAGTGCTTACATTGGTGTTATGTGTGCTCCATGTGCAGTGGAGTGGAGCTAGCCTACATTGTACCTGAGAGAAGAAGGTGTTTCTTTCTTTTTGCTGTTCTTGCTTGCGTTTTGTAGACATCACAAACTGCTGCCCCTCAGCCATTTCATTTTGCTTTGGAGCCAACTGAGCGTGGACTGAAATCTCTTACCTGTAAGAAATAAACCTCTCCTTCTTTCATGTTGGGCATCAGGTATTTTGTCTCAATAACCAGTGAAAAGTAAGTAAGACAACTGGGAATAACTGTATCTCAGTACCCAGCTCAATGCCTGACACAAGAATGGTGCACTTTTTTTTGACAGAAAGAAAACAAGCAGTAGCACACAATTATAGATTTGCATCACATGGAATGTCTCTACTTCCAAGGTTCTGCAGTGAAATGTGGTCTCATCAGTTTTCCTCTCTGAGGGCACTAACCTTGTCATTTCTTTTGCTTTATTGTAGCAAATAATGCTCCTCTATCCAGTTTTCACTCTCCCTATGGTCTTAGAAATCAATTGTAAGCTGTTATACAGTGTTATGCTGGGCATGGAACTAAGGACCTCCTTCATACGAGGCAAGTGCTCTACTTCAAGACACATTCCAACCCTCCCTTTCATATTCCTGGAGTTTAGACCATGGGAATATGCTATGGTGGATTTCCAGCACAAATGACTTACCAGGGAACTGCAGTATTAGCCGCAAGCTGACTGAAGTTGTAGGACAGTCTACTGTAATGAAGAACTGCCCAACTGAGCCTTGTCAAACCAGAAAATTGATTAATAATTATAATAAAATTTTGCAATAAGGCACTGAGTTTAGGAATGCTTTGTTATACAACAATGGCTAATGAGCAAGAAAGGAGCAAGAGAGGCACTATTCACAATAACCAAGGCAAGCAATCAGTCTAGGTATGTGTCAGCAAGAGAATGGGCAAAGCAAACGTGGCATGCACATGTGCACACAGACATACACACACCATCACACACACACACACACACACACACACACACACACACACACACACACATCCTGTTCAACCATAAAGAAGAATGAAATCTAGTCATATGCAGAAAAGTTCAGGGAAGTGGAGGATATCATGTTTAACAAAATAATTCAGACACAGACCAATAGTGCATGTTTTCTCTCATATGTGGAAAATAGAAAAAAAAGTAGAATAGGGGCTACACAGGCCTGGGAGGACAGTTAGGAGAGAGGGTGAAGGTAGGAGAGGGGTTGACGAACTTGATCAATGCACAGTATATGCATATATGAAAATATCATAATGAATCTTCTTACTCTGTACAACTAGTATGTGTCAATAATTATATTTTTTTAATGGAAAGGAAATGGAACAAATTTTAAAGCATGTGTGCAGTTTCAGGCTAATGCAGACTTTGCTTAGTAATCCCTTGCCCCTTTGGGGTAAACACAAGATATAGGAGAGCCTAGATTGCTGGAAAAATATCAATGGCCATATTCAAGGCTCAGACTCTTGCATGTGGAACATGAATCAAGAGGTTCAAGGCTAAGTATCTTTCTATCTTTGATAAAAGTGTTTTTATTTTCCCCCAAGCAATGTATTGTCCCAGAGTGGTTCCCTGACTCCAGATGTTGGGAGGGTAGGGGGATGCTGTCTGATTCCAGGAACAGGGTTTGCATGCTGACTCTACTATTGCAGAAATGATCTCAAACAGATCCTCTTACTTTTCCACACTTAGTTTCCACACTTAAAAGTGATCACTTATTTTAGCAGCTATGTAGAGAATGCAGATGAGAAATAGCATTTGCATGGTGTTCATGAGTCAGAGGTGGCCAGAGTGTTTTGCAGCTGTTCTTCAGCTTTGCATCTCTGGCCATCAAGGATGGAAAAGGCTCTTGTGTTTCCCTAAGGAGAACAGGAGGACAATGGCTTCTCCTGCAGTGGGAGGCAGCAGAGGCCTAAATCAGGTCACTGTGCAATGGGGCTTTGAATGTTTTGTCATTGAATCCTTTCCCCACCTCTAATTTTTCTTTTTCTGTTGCTCCTAAATCATTGTTTTGGTAATTATGATAATATTTACACATTTCAAAAAGTCCAACAAACAAGGAGGAAAAATTAGAAATATTTGCTCTTTTTGTATGTAGAGAGGGAACTATCATTGGTACATTTTTAGCCTCCATTTCCCTGTTAACAATTTATTTCAGACATGGTTCCAGTGTGATTAATTTAGGTTTACAGCATTGTAACAGGAATCAGTGAAATAGGAATTAGGATTCTTTCAGGCATTAAGCACAAAAGCTGCCAAATGGAGTCAGGATGTCTAAAATGGAGCCTGCTGAGTTGTGCCCCTCCAGGGACTTTACAAAAACATCTGCTGAATGTGCCTCAGCTGTTCAGGAACTTTCCAGAACATGACCAGGCAGGCCATTGCCTGAAAGGTACATGGGCTGTGCATGGGCACTGTGTGAGCACTTTTTGGCCTGTTTTGGGGACTCAAGGAAGATTTTCTTGGGTGAGGCCCCAAGGTTAGAGAATGTACATGTTCAAGACATCAGCAACAGTGGCAGGCAGTATGGAGCAGAGCAGAGGACCAATTTTTGTTATATAATTCTTACACAGGTTGTTATCTCATATTTACATTCTTGTGCAGTCCTCTAACCATCCCATGGGAGTTCACATGTGCTAAGTCATGGTTACATAAATATACCGCACTGTGTGCCTGTGCAGACAAGCATGGTCATGTCCTCAGTTGTCTTTCGATGTCCCCAAACTGTGAAGCAGTTGGAGTGGTTCCACACAACACTTCCTAGATTGAACCCTGAAAAGTAGATAGTCTTCCATAG